AAAAAAAACTAGAGAGTGGATAATTTTTTAAATGAGCAATTGATTAATTTCAGTATTCTGTTTACAAAATTAAGGCACAATTATAAAAAAAAAATCAATAGATATTAATTGATATTAATAAAAAAACTTAACGTTAATATGTGTCAGAATACAGTATAAAATATCTTGTTAACTTATTTTTTGGTATCTCTATCTTAATACTTTTATACGCAGAATAATTAGAGAAATAATATTATATAAAATAATTATATATTATAATTTCATATAAAAAAGTAAAAGTAATCTTCATACGTTTTTAGCACTTCCACTTTAAAAAAAGCGACGTGATCAAAATATGTTTTTCTTGAAACCGTACTGCTTTCATCTAAAACATTTTATCATACATATATTTTCAAGATATTTGTAATGGGGCAATTAAAATGGAATATTATACTATGTCCTCTGAAATTACAATATTTTTAAACTTTATTCATAAATCTTATTTTAATTTGTAGTATCATGTAAAATAACAGAAATGGAAAAGTGTGAAGGTGAGGCGGTAGCAAATAATAGAAAAGGGAAACTTATTTTCTTTTATGAATGGAATATTGTTCTTAAGTGGATATCAGATGGAAACTCCAGTAAAGATATTGAGGGTAAAATTAATATTCCTAATCTCTCTGAAGAAAATGATATTAGTGAAGTAGATGTAAGTATTTTTAATGAAATTATATAATTATTAAATTAGGCCATCTGGTTCAAACTATTATTTGTTTCATTTTCATTTTTTTTCGAGAAACATTGGTTTCTCGATCAGTAATCATTTTCCTTTGATATTTAGTATACTACTAAATTGCTATGCAAGAATTTAAATAGATACATATTTTGTAATTTGTAGATTGAAGTTACATTAAAAGATAGTACAGATGAAGGAGAGAAAGTTAAACAATTTTTACATACTAAAGGTAAAGATGTAATAAGAGAAAAATTAAAGAAATATGTATCTTCTCTAAAAGAAGGTAAGTTAATTTGCTAACTTGTGATGTAAATTGCTCATTATATTTAAAAAAATATAGCATTTGCAATCCATCTTTTTTTATTTGCAGAGTTTACGAAAGGAATGATACTTCCCAAAAAGGATAACGATAAAGAAAAAGAAAATATTTCTAACATAACATCTGGTTTTAATATTAAGGTATGTATAATATATTTATAATGTAAAGTAGTAAAATAACTAATAATGTATTTCCTTTCAAGATGCAAATGAATGCTGCAGTGACGCCAACGAACAATAAAACAGCAAATTGTAAAATTTCAACCACTACGATTAAGCAAAATGTAAAATTTCAATGCAGAGCGGATGAATTTTACAACGTCCTCTCTTCAATCGAGGTAATAATTTTGCCGTATTATTGTCTCAATATAGACGTTATTAATATAAACTAAGCCACTAGCCAACTTATAACAGAATTTTTAATTTTCACAGATGGTACAAGCATTTACGAAGAATCCAGTAAAGCTAGAGCCGAAGAAAAATGGTCAATTTGAACTATTCGGTGGCAATATTCACGGCGAATTCATAGAGATCACTCCAACGAAGATTGTTCAAAAATGGCGTTGTAAACAGTGGCCGTCCGGACATTTTAGCGATGTTACGATCGATATCTGTGAAAAGAACGATCATACTGAGGTCAATTTAACGCAGAGCGGTGTCCCAGTGAGGTAAAACTCGAGAACAATGACTTTCTGTTAAAATTTAACGGTATTATTGACAAGTAAAATCGTTATGCGGAAACGTCGTGATTTTCAGCGAGGAGCTCTCTACGAAGGAGAATTGGGACAGGTATTACTGGGATGCTATAAAACGAACCTTTGGCTTCGGATACTTCATGTGATCTAAATTCACTCTAATGGATATTTATTTATTGCTAAGTAGAACAATCGTACAGATTGCGTTGATTTACACGCAATCGTGTGAGCGCTTGACTTCTGCGGGAGCATAGATGAAGTCTATAGTGCGGTGGGAAGGAAGTGTATGCTATACAGGTTTACTCTGTTCTCTCTTCGTATATTTGGTACCGCCTTGTGTAAAACCATAAATTAATATCGCTGCGCGCTCGTTACATTGCTGCGCGACGTTACAAGTGACTTGTATGTCTCTATCTATTAGATGTGTCTGTCTAATAAATCATGAGATAAAGATCAATGAGATTTCAATCTGTTCTTTCCGTATGAGAATGACCGTATCAAGCCTTTATTCCTTTAAATCATAACGATGCAACTTGAAGTCAATTATCAAATAAGCATTTTGTAATTGCTGTAAACTCTGCGTATATCTCTTTAATTGCGAAAGAGTTGGTAAAGTAATCAGTCTTCTCATGAAAAGAACGGACATTTTTTTATACATAATAAAAAGTAATGATCATTTTTCATTGTTTGAATGCTAACATCACATTATATATTTGACTAATAAATCAAATTTTGAACACGGTCGCGCTCGCGTTCATGTAAACAAGTTGAAACGCCTTTAAAATCCTAAAGCTGTACCCGCCGGTGCACCGAAATGTTCCCCTTTTCGCACGAGGACAGGACCAATGTCCTCAGCAGCTAGAGAGACGGGAGCGGCATGAATGGGCAGATCCAGAGAGTACGAAATGCGCGCGCCTTCGAAAATCAAAATCAATGTAGTCCGCCGTCGTTCGCACTGGTCCCGCTCGCTCGCTCGCTCGCTTGCTTCCTCGCGGATTGCCCACGCCCTTAGTGCACCTCGCGATCCCAACGCGAATGTTATCGGAGTACAGCGCCGTTTATCGTTTCCCTCTCTCCGTTTCTCATGCGTTTCCCATCTCCGTCGCTCGTAACTGCACAAGCGCATATCGGGATGCATATATACACGCACACCAACTTGTCATCCCTCTTTTTCCGAGTCTCCCCCCTCCTATATTTCTAATCTTTTTCTTTCCCTCTTTCTAGCCTCTCTTCCAAACAACCTTTTCCTCGTTCTTCCAGTCGCTTCTCTCTTTGCTTTCTCTCTTCCCCGTCTCGATCTTCTCTCCCTCGCTTGCACCCCTTGACCAAGTCAGTCGAATTAATTGAGAGAGAGAGAGAGAGGGGGGGGGAGGGGAGAGGAGAGGAGAGGAAGCGGGGGTTAAATTACCTCCCTCGTCGGAGAAGCGCTCTCTCTACCACAAGCATCACCACCACTATCATCACTACTACCATCACAGTCAGTCTTTCCTCCGATCCCGCGCCAGCACCATCGGCTAGCTCGCGACTTACGCGTGGAGCATCCCTCCGTGTTGAACGCTCCTCTTACGCGCGCCCTCTCTCTCTCTCTCTCTCTCTCTCTCTCCCCTCCCCTCCTCTTTCACCCTTCTCATCTCACCCCACAAACGAAATCTTTCTCACTCGACCACATCCTCGCGTTCGCCTATCCGTCTCTCCTCTTTCTCTATCTCGTTCGGTCGCGGGTACGCGCGCGTTGCGTCTCGCCCCGAGCGATGTCGGGGCCGCGTTAAACCATGCATGTAACCGATCACGCGTCCGTCAGTCGGTCGGCGACAGTCTAACGGAGGCCCCACGCGCATCGCGACATCGTCGCACCGACGACGACGTCGCCGTCGATCGCACTAGTCTCGTAACGCGCGCGAGGAAGCGACAGTCGTAGTAGAGCCGAGTATACCGATTGGTAAAGGAAGGAGAGGAAGGCAGCAGCAGCAGCAGCAACAGCAGCAGCAAGCACCGTCGTCGTCGTCGGCGTGATGACCACGGTCCCGGATCGGTGCTCGTCCTCGCACCCCGTCGTACCCCGTCATCGGTGATACGGGGATACGTCGCGCGCGCGCCGATTTCATTACACGACAGACATGTGAGTGCGAGAGCGCCTTCTCTCACCCCCTCCGCCCTCCGCCGCCTACCTTTTCACCCTTTCTCGCCCTCGCCCTCGTCAATTCCGTGCGCACCCTCCGGCCGAGACGCACGGCGGAGAAGCGCAGCTTGTCGCCGACTCTCGCAACGCGCGCGACTCGCGGGAGAGAAGGATCTCCGTTGACGATCGCCACGATCGCGTCGACGAGGGGTGGTCGCTCGTTCGCTCGCTCGCTCGCTCTCGGGAGGGAGGATCGAGTCTTCTGTCTCTCACCTAGCCTCGCCTCGCCTCGTCACGCATCGCATCGCCTCGCCTCGTCTCGCCTCGCCTCGCCTCGCCTCGTTCGCGCATCGCAGCAGCCTCCGCGCCAGGAATACCACGGAGAGGATGCGTGACGCACTCGACACGGGCGAGTATAGCTCGGGGGTGTAGAAGGTGGCAGCCTCTCTTTTTCAATTTTCTTTCCTTTTCCTTTTCCCCGTGTCCCGTACGTTCGCTCGCATCCGTGTCGGTTCCCATCGCGTTATCGCGCCGATTATCGGCCGGCATCGCCTCGGGAATCTCTCTCGCGGAGAAGTCGAGAGGATCGACGGTCCTCTACTCCTCTCTCTCTCTGGCGTTGGGCGGGTACGGCGTAACGAGCACGCCGCCGGACGAGCCACCCTACTTTTCCTCGGGGTGGTTTACTTTCTCGGGACTACCCTGGCTAGTCGCGCCGCGTCTCTCGCTCCGCTCGCCTCGGCCCTCGTGAAGAATCCTAAATAACGCGATTACGGACGGCCGCCCCCGTGTCCTCGGGTGAACTCAATTCGGAGCGTGTCACGGGGGTGAGTCTCAGAGAGGGATGATTTTGTACCAGTGCTCGGCCGCGTTCGAGAATTTCTCCTGGGACGGAGAGTGTTTTTCGTAGCAGTGCTTTCAACGTCCCTTAGGTGTGCCGCGCGAGATTCGCGCGGCGTAAAGTGGACCTTTCTGCGAAATCGCACTCGCACCGATTTCGCGTACGGGCTTCGATCGCGGTAACTTAAACGGATACGCGGTTATTTCTGTACGGTAATTTTTTTCTACTTCCCTACACTACGGATACTCCGCCGTTCGAAACGAGGAAAGAAACGTTGACCCAGAGTAAGATTTCGCTAATAATCGTCCATTCATGTATAACGCCCCACGCATAAGCAGCGTTGTTACCTTTACATTCATGAATCTTTTAGTACGCGTTAATTAAAGGGAATCGATCGATTACGTACGATCAAATACAAATCGCGGACGACGCGTGCTTTACAGCCGCCTGCGCTTGCTTGAACTTGTTTTAATCAATTCCAACTTTGCTGTGAACTCGCGACTAAGTTTCCGTCACGATATCCGTTCGTATAATCCTAGCTTAATTTATTTCAAATCGAAAGAAGGAAAAAAAGAGAGAGAGGAGCTTGAGAGAGAGAGATCCTCTCGCTAATCTATTACACAATCAACGATACGAATATCGAAATTCAGGACCGCAGGTGCACGAAGCCGCGATTGTTTATCTATAAAAATGCACGCGGAGATTTTATGGACGGCGGGCACGGTACGTGAGAGTTTTTCAGTATGCCGGGAATTCGAAAACGAAACTGATGATAGACGAAGGAGCTTCTCGTTTTCCATTAAGATAACGCCCGTTCGATCACTGTTTTTCCACGGCTATTCGCATGTGCGTGTTATACGTATTTTAGCTCGCGGATTTGTGCACGCGACGCGGGGAGGGGCATTTATGTACACAATTTTGAGTTTCTGCACATTTGAGCTAATAAACAGATCATTTTATTAGCAATCTCTCTCTCTCTCTCTCTCTCTCTCCCTTCTTGTTTACTTTAATTTCGTAATTATTCTCGCGCTGTTAGATCCATTCTTTTGCATCTCTTGTTGCATTAATGTTTTAACGCTTGAGAAAATGCTATCTTGGAGCGCCTATAAATAAAGCTATCTTGCTTTTTCTATAACCGAGAATATTTGAAATTAATTGCTGCAACACACATTATATTTCGTTGCTAATTACGTGAATGGGCACTCATATTTTCTTGAGAATTATGAAGCACTTCCAGCCAGTGATTTTATTTTCAATTCCTGTTGTATTTGCATTTTATCGTGATTTGCAAATAATGTAAAACGAGGAATGAGATTAAAGCCTTATTTATAAAAGTTCATTTTGAATGATGTGAAACGTCAAAAAAACGCAGATGCGGTTTAGATACAGTTTATTGTAACAGATAACGATAGTAACTTATCAAAAGTTTACGATCTCATCGCGATTATTGAATATATTATAAATAGAATGAATTGTTATTCATAATACAGCCAAGAAGAAAATTTGCAATCTCAAGAAAAACATTTGCAATTAAATCCAGCATTTATCTTCCTATGATGGGCGGAGACGCGCTTCCACTTGCAATTCGCTTGCGATACACAACTTGTTATCGGTACCAACGATACACTTCCGGTTTTACGTAAGATTATTATAGCACTCTTATCGTTCGACCGTACGTGTCGTCGCCGTATTATGTCACCTCCGTCTCGAAGCGAATCGCGAACGAACCTCTGATTTTATCGGCGCTTTTGATGCTTCGATAGCAACGAAGTATCATATTCCGATTCCTGATACCAAGTACTTCGGCGCTAGAAAAAGACGATAATTGCACGTTTATTTACTGCACTAATCATCCGCTTTCATTTCTCTCGATTTATCGAAAATTATCAAAAATGTTTTATGACGAATTGTCAAAAAGTATTTAGATCACTATTGTTAATAATATCCATACTTTTCAATCTTATTCGTGATATCGAATATGATGAACAGAGCCAATTGTTATACTTAATATGTCAAAGGAGACGATTATTTCTCAAGAAGAGAGCATTCGCAGTTAAATTGCTTCATTATTTCCTTATTATTACATAAAGTATGTCATTATTGAAAATATGTGCGAGAAAATAAATTATATTGAAATTTAATGGAAGTTTCATATTCGGGGGAATCGTAAGGCAAAGATCGAA